GTTTATCAGGTCACTTAGCGTTATCTCAACTTTGCTCAAATTTGCTATTTTTAATACTTCCATTCCAAGTAAATACATAGTGATAAAAATTAGAATATTTGCCACATTTAGCACAGTGAGAAGCCTTTCACTCATTAAATTTCTTTTTTATTTCGGCTTTTTTTGGCATCTTCTTCCTGTCGTTTTTGTTTTTCCTTTTGTTCTTGTAAATTTCTTCTAAACTCTGTTCATTCATTTTGGAAAAAACGATAAATAGGTGCAGCACAATCATCACAGTGCCACATTGTAAGTTCGGTGCCGTTCACTGATTCATATTTTCGAAGACTGGCTCCAGGGTCATTACATTTTTGACAGTATGCCATAATCCTATAACATTCCCCCGCTTAGGGTTTGACTATTTTTTTTACTTTTTTTTTTTTTTGTAAATTTAATTTCATATTTTATAAAATTTTATCTTATTTCTTTTTTGATTTTTGTTTTTCTCCACTCCTCTACCCACCTGCCCAGGCTAGTAGAGAAGTGAGTTTTTTATATACTTATTTTTTGGTATATATAATATTTTAGCAAGATTTAGTTATTAAAATAAATACTTATCATTTTAGGAGTGTTGCAGCGTTCTATGCAGTGGCTATCTCTATCTTTTCTAAATCCAAAAGGGCATTGCGGAAAGCGATGGCTTGGTCAAATTTGAATTCCCGCGTAAATCTTTTCATTTTTCTTCGCACATCTTTAACCAATTTTTTTAACTCTTTTTCTCCCATTTTTCCTTTTTGAGCTTTTTCTACTAGCAGAGCTATTAGAGGGTCAAGAGAAATGTCCTTGACTGGTTTTTCAACTGTTTGGGGGACAATATTATTCTGCCGATTATGCTCTTTCTGAATTTGGCGTCGTCGATTAGTCTCTTCAATAGCGCCCAGCATATTATCAGTAATTTTATCAGCATAAAGAATAACTTTGCCATTCCTGTTTCGGGAAGCCCGCCCAATTATTTGAATTAGCGAGCGAGTATCTCGTAAAAATCCAGGTTTATCGGCGTCCAAAATACAAACCAAAGAAACTTCAGGCAGGTCTATTCCTTCCTTTAACAGGTTAATTCCAACTATTACGTCATACACTCCGCGCCGTAAACTAGTAATGGCTTGGTATCTTTCAAAAATTTCTAGACGGCTATGAAGATAAACTACCCGAATGTTTCTTTCTTGCAAAAAAGCCGCAATATCCTCCGACATAGCAATAGTTAAAGCGTAGATAAGGACCTTTTCTCCTCGGTGGCTTTTTCCTTTTATTTCCTCCATAATGTCCGCAATTTGGTTGCGGGTGGTTCTTACTTCTATTTCTGGATCAAGCAGGCCAGTCGGACGGATAATTTGCTCAACTGGTTGATAATTTACTTTCTCTAATTCGAAATTACCTGGGGTGGCGGAGACATAAAGAGAATAGCCGATTTTGGCAAAAAATTCCTCTTGACTTAAAGGACGATTATCCAGGGCGGACGGTAGACGAAAACCATATTTTACTAAGGTTTCCTTACGGCGGCGGTCAGTATTATACATGGCTTTTACTTGGGGGATAGTAATGTGGGATTCATCAATAATGGTCAAAAAGTCTTCGGGAAAGTAATCAAGCAAGACAAAAGGAGTTTCGCCCTCACTTCTCCCATCAAAATAACGGGAATAATTTTCAATTCCGGGACAAAAACCCATTTCCCGCAAGTTAAATAAATCTTCCTGAATTCTTTTTTCTAATCTTTCGGCTTCTAAAAACTTTCCTTCTTGGCAAAAATATTCTTTTTGCTCGGTCAATTCTTTTTCAATTCTTGTTAAAATTTTGGTTAATTCTTCTCCTTCTTCACCTACATAATCTTGGCTGGGCGGAATAGCAATTTTTTTCAATTCTTTTATTTTTTCACCCGTTTGCTGATTTATTTTTTCTATTTTCTGAATTTCGTTTCCCTTAATACTTAACGAAAAATAATAATTCTCTTCCCATCCCAACATGAAATTAATTTTTTCTTCCTTTATTTGGCAATTTCCTGGGTTAATTTTTTTATCATTCTTATATCCAAGAAGCAATAATTTTTCTTGAAGCAAGTCCTTATCCACTTTTTGCCCTTTTTCTAAATGAATAACCACCTTACGATAAGAGGTGGGGTTGAAGCAGCCATAAATAGCGGCCACCGAGGCTACCACAATTACATGTCGATCAGTAACCAAAGAGTTAAGAGTTTTCAAACGCATTTTGGCAATGCTGGCATTTCGCTGAACTTTTTTGCCAATATAAATGTCAGTAGCAGGCTTGTAGGCCTCTGGCTGGTAATAATCAAAATAAGAGACATAATATTCAACCCGGTTATGAGGGAAAAAACCTTGCATTTCTTGATAGATTTGCATGGCCAAGGTTTTATTATGAGCCAGAATTAAAGTTGGTTTTTGAGTTTGTTGGATAATATTTGCCATGGTAAAAGTTTTGCCGGTGCCAGTGGCTCCCAAAAGCACTTGTTCTTTTTCACCTTTGTGAATACTTTCGACTATTTTCTTAATAGCATTAGGCTGGTCTCCTTTTGGTTCAAAATTAGTGATGAGACGAAACATAAAATTATAAAAAAGTTTTAAGCATTCTTGCTTTTTTATTTTTACTTAATTATTATTATGATCTTTAATTTGTTATGTTATATTGAATAGTCGTTTTATACATAGTGCCAATTTCTTCCCAAATGGATTTAACTGGTGGGTGGTAGATTAAAAAAGATTATGAAATATTTATGTATTGACCCTTCCGGAACTGGCACTACTGGAATATTTTTTTTTCAGGCTAATAGTAAATTAAAATCCACATTTTCTGAATATAAAAGTAAAAAATGAGAAGAACATTTAAACTTCATTGTTGACCTTGTAAAAGAATGAGAGCCAGACATTATTATTTATGAAAATACCACCTACATTTATGGTCGTCAGCACCAGGGAACAGTTGGACTATATAAATTAATCGGTGGCATCATGGCCTTGAAATACACTTTCGACTTTATTCAGGAAATAAACAGTGTGGCAGTTAATCAAGTCAAACCTTTTAAGGATAAACTTTTTGATGGTCGGGAACAGTTAGAAGGTTTAACTTGTAAGGCAGGCCGCGGTAAAGGTTGAAAATATAAGCAAAAAAAAATTAGTTTACACCAATTAGATGCCTTAATAGTTTATCACTTGTGGAGCGGGGGCAGTTTGGAGAGCAAAAGAAGTATTAAAAAAAAGATAACTAATTTAAAAGCCAAAAAAAGATTAGGTATTAAACAAAAAGAACAATTAAAAAAGTTAGAAAATTTTTTAGGTGAAAATAATGATTAATTTCTTTTTTTTCTTTTTCGATAAATTACCCAAATGCCGACTATTGCTATTAAAATGGCACCTCCCCCTATCAAAAAAGGAGTCATTTGGCTAAATAAGTTTTTCTCGTTTGCTCGGACTTGGTTATTTTTGCGCTGGCCATCTTCGGGAGTTTTGGAGGGAGCGGGAGGTAAATTTGGTTCTTCTCAGCGTCCTTGTCTTAAATATTCCTCTTCTCGCTCTTTACATTGGTGATTTTTAACCACTCGTTTAATTTCTTCTCATTCCTGTTTAGTAAAAGTTCTTATGTTAAATCTTCGATGTGGTTTTTTAATATTTTCTAATACTAATTCTACATACCATTCTTCCCCTGTTTCTTCGTCCAATCACCCCACGCTTTTTACTATTTTCCACTCGGTTGCTGTTTCTCTAATATTTTTTATCATCAAATTTCTAATTTCTTGAAAGTGTTCTGGGGTTAAGCAGTTTACATCAATATCGCCAATTTCTCCTTGTTTCAATGGCTTGGATTTGGCATTTCTTAGAAATGAGGAGTCTAAAATTCACCATTCTAAATTGTTAATTACTAGATTCTTTAACTTCTCACTTTCAGCCAAGTATTTTTGGTGGACCAAACTAAAAGATTTGGTTAATAAATCACCATTATTTTTGGCGGCTTTGGCAACTTTTCAGCGATCACTATTGGGAGGTGCTTCGCGAAATTCTTTTAAATCTGCTAAACAAAAAGAGGGAGTGTGATGATAATTATTCATGTTATTTACTTCCCTCATTCTAATTATTAAATTGACCGCGGACTCCAAGGAACCACAGGTGTCTAAAACAGGGTCTTTAATCATGGACTTTTCTTGCGAGGTTAAATCAAAATCTAGTTTTATCCCCGCGTAGCCAATTTTTTTCTCTTCTAGGATTTCCTTGCGGGTCATTTCTACCACACGAGGGTTTTTGCCACCGTCGACTTTCATAACTTAATTTTATATTATTATCCCCATTTTACAAAGAAAGAAAGGTTAGTTTGTTTTTGCAAAAAGATCCGACTCAAAAAAAAATGTCATTCTTCTCCCCTCCTCACAACAAAAAAATTAAAAAAATTAAGTAATCATTAACCCTCTTCATCACCCCATTTTTGGCTAAAAAAATCATTTTTTATTTTCTCTAAAATTAATTTATATGTCATTGCTAATCACTCTGGAAGGAATCGACGGAAGCGGAAAAACTACCCTGCTTAATAATCTAAAAAAAAGTAGTGAATTAGACCTAACAACACATAATTGAAGAGATACTGAATTAGGAGAAAAAATTTGGAACTTAATTAATGAAACCCGAGCCCAAGAAAAAAATGGGATACCAAGCGATTGAAGTTATATTTTTCTCTTTTTAGTGGCTTTTGATGAATTAGTAAAGGAGATAATTAACCCTAACTTACGAGAAAATAAAATAGTAGTGATTGATCGTTATATCGACAGCACCTTTGCTTATCAAGGATTAGAAAGAAAATTAGGAATTAATGACATTCGAGCAATGGCCCAAAAAACGATTAATTTGCCTTTGCCTGATATTACTTTTGTTCTCGATATCGATCCCCAGCAAGCCCAAGAAAGATTAAAAAAAAGAAAACTAACTACTGGTGAATATACTAATTGAGACAATTTAAAACTAGAATTTCATAATCGAGTAAGAAATCATTATTTAGAATTAAAAAAATATTTTCCAGAAAGGATTCACATTATTGACGCAAAAAAAAGTGAGAACGAAATATTAACTGAGGTTCAAGATATAATTAAACAAAATTACTCACCAAAAAATGAAACTAATTTGCCCCAGTTTGTTCGTGTAGTTATCCAAAATGAAAAAGGGGAATTTTTGTTAGTAAAAGATAAAAAATGAGGCTGGAATCTTCCGGGCGGCAAAATAGAGTTGAACGAAAGCCCAGAAAGTGCTGCTAAAAGAGAAGTGTTTGAAGAAACTAATTTAGTAGTGGAAAATCTGGAAAAAATTGCGGAGGAAAATGTCTTTTACGCTAACTTACCGAAAGATATTCAGCACTGAAAAGGTTATTTTTTTCAGGCTAATAAATACTCAGGCAAGTTAAAAATTAAAGAAGTAGAAAAAATATTAGACATCAAGTTTATGACTGCTAACTCTGAAAAAACAAGTGGAGAGGATAGTGCTTTCCAATTTTATTTAGAAAAAATCAAGAAATTAAAAAAATATGCCAAATAATCAATATCGTTCACTCCAAAAAACAAAAATAAGTCTCTTTTACCTAATAAAAAAGTTTCCTTTCCATTTTCTTTTTCATTACGGCTTGGCTGCCCTCAGTGCTTATGGGGTCAGTAGAATACTCAATTATGCCATAAAGGTTTTTAGCCAAAAAGATAGTTCAGCATTGGTTCGCCAAGAGTTTTGACCATTACTAGGTGGCCTATTACTTTACGGAGTAGTGGCTTTTTTCCACATTGCCCTGGGTATTTACTGCGAAGAAGTTTTTAGTTCTCATTTGCGGAAAAAATTAGCCCAAAAATATTTAACTGCCAAGTTTTCTCAAACCCAAAAAGAAAAGTTTGTTTTGACTCGATACGATAGCGACGCCCAAAAAGTGGGAACTCTGGCTTCTCGCATTTATAATCGTAGTTTCTTTTCGTTGTTCTCTATTTTATTTACTATTTGAGGGTTTGTCAAAGATGAAGAATTACATTGAGTTATCCCGTGGTGTCTAGGATTTTTAGTAATCATGGCACTCTCAGCCGCTCTTCTTTATTGAATAGCCTATTATTATCATTATCAAAAGAACCAAAGAATACAAAAAGAAGACAAGAAGTTTAAAGAGTTAAGCGACAATATTGAATATATTAAAACAGTCGGAGCCGAAAAAGAAGAAGTTAAAAAAAATAACATTTTATTAAATAATAATCTAAGAAAAAGTCATTCTTTTGTCTTGGCTAAATCCACTTATGCTACTGTTCCAAGTTATTTATTAAGGCATGGCATACCACTGATATTTATCTCTCTTCATCAGGGAGCCAAAGGAGCAATTTTATATTTTAAAACCAAGTTAATTTTTGATGACATGAAAACTATTATTGAAATGTTTTGAGCCCACGGCGGCTATGATACTTATGCAACTAGTTTGAAGCAGTTAAATAGGTCTTTTGCTATTTTAGAAAAAGACAACTCCTCTCCTTCTACTATCAGTCATTTGCCGACTTCCCAACAAAACATTATTTTTCAAAATGTTGATTTCACTTATCCTGAAAGTCAAAAAAAAGTATTAAATAATTTTTCTTTCACTTTTCAAGGTGGAAAAAAACATGTGATTGTTGGGCCGAATGGAGTGGGAAAAAGCACTTTATTTAAACTAATTGTCAAACTTTATCAACCTCAAAAAGGAACTATTAAATTAGACGAAACCGAGATAGAAAAAATTGATAATACTATTTTGCGAAAAAAAATTGTTTATTTGCCTAATAATCCTTCCTTTTTTAATACCAGTTTAGGGAATAACATAGTTTATCCTGACCTTTATCAAGAAAAAATTCACAAGCAAAAATTAGAAAATATTGCTAAAAAGTTGGGGGGTAAAGACTTTATTGATAAATTACCAAATCGTTGAGAAACTATCATTGCTGAAAAAGGGCAAAATCTTTCTGAAGGACAAAAGCAACTAGTTAGTTTAATGCGGGCATTTATTCAAGATTATGAAATTTATCTTTTGGACGAGTCTTTGAGTAATATTAGCAGTGAACTAAAAGAAAAGATAATGAAAGTTATTTTTCAGGAATTAAAAGATAAAACGATTATCATTATTAGTCATGATCAGGAGACTATTAAATATGCCGATGAGGTATATAAGTTTTCTTCTCGTGGACTAATCAAAGAAAAATAAATACATTTTGCTGTTTGTCAAATAAAGAAAAACAATGAAAAGGCTTAATAAGATATTAAATAGAAATTAAAAATATGGAAGAAGTAAATAAGAAAAATAATCATAAAATCGGTTCAATTACGGTCATAACTGGAAACATGTTTTCCGGTAAAACTGGCTTACTAATTGCTAAATATAACCAAAGTAAAAACTATCGCAAATGTTTAGTTTTTAAGCCAGTTTTGGATAACCGATACAGTGAAACCGAAATAGTTTCGCACGATAAGGATAAAATTAAGGCTATTCCCATTAATAGTATTCAGGATATTGAAAGGTATAAAGACCAAGGAGAAAATATTTATATCGATGAAATTCATTTCTTTAAAGAGGATGTCAATACTTATTTAAATAACTTGGCTAATCAAAATAAAGAAATAGTGGTGGCAGGTCTAACTTGAGACTGCTTTGCCGACAAGCCTTTTCTGTCGGTGGCTCATTTGGTTGCGACTGCTGAATATCCGGTTAGACTTTTTGGAAAATGTGATATTGAAAATTGTCCCGAAAGAAGCACCAAACAACGCTGAAAATTAGACTGATTACCTAAAAAACCGGAAGATTTTGTAGGTGGTAGTGAAAAATATGGTTCTTATTGCCGTTTTCACTATAAGCCAGTAAGCAAAACAACTCCGAATAAAAACAAAAATAGTCTAATTATCATTGCTGGTGGTAGCGGTACTGGTAAAACAACTGTCGAAGCCTTATTGAGCCAGGACCCGAATATTACTAAACTGATTTCCACTACTACTCGTCCCAAGCGAGAAGGAGAAGAACACGGCAAAGATTATTATTTTATTAGCAAAGAAGAATTCGAGACCGAATTAGAAAAAGGTCGGTTTTTGGAACATGTCATCTATGATGGTAATTATTACGGAGTTCATGGCAAAGTAATAGACCTAGTTTTAGGAACCCAAAGGAAAAATGGAGTAATTATTGTGGATGTAGAGGGTTTTCGGCAAATTAAAAAATACTGTCAAGAAAAAGGATATAATGCGATTTCTTATTGGTTTAAATCAGAAAGCATGGAAAAAATGGTCGAGCATATGAAAAAAAGAGGCACCAGTGAGCCAGAAATTATTAGGAGGTTAATTATTGAAGAAAAGGAAGGAAAATTTTCCTCGGAGTTTGATTACATTTTAACAGTCAAAGAAGGCGGTTTAGCCGAAGCAGTCCAAGAAATTAAAGAAAAATTAAAAAATTATGAAGTGAGTTAATAATTTCGGAAAAGTAGTTTTTAAGGCCTTAGCATTTTTGCCTTGTTTTTTCACAATAGCAAATTATTTTACAGTTTTAACTGAAAAACAAAGAACTGAACCAATGGGAATATTTTTTTTGGTAGCCAGTATAGTTTACTTCCTTTTGGCTCTTTATTTTCTAATAATTAATTGGCAATAGATATGGAAAGAAAAAAAGATAGACAATCAAAAAAGGTAACTAAATTAAATTGATTTACGATTACTAGAAAATATTGAAAAGAACAACTGTTTTTTTATATTTTAACCACAATAAGTTTTTTGGGAAGTTGATTTATTGGTCAAAATGCTTTAAAGTATGCGTGGGGCATGATTAATAAGGGAAGTTTTTCGAAGGATTTGCCGTATAAACTTGAATTTTTTAATAAGACTTTACGTAATTTTGGGGAGGGTCGAGAACACATGAAGCCCTTTCTTATTACGATGGCAGTAATTACTCTTCTCTATTGCGTAGTAGTAGTTATTCATGTTTATTATGCTTTTTTATTGTCCAACAGGATTATCCGGGATGTGAAAAAGAAAACTTTGGCCAAATTTTTTCAGTTGCGCCACAACTATTCCGAAAAGGAGGTTTTAAACATAATCTCTAATGATACTCGAACTTTTTCTGACTATGTTCTTCATGTTCCTAACCAATTATATTATATGGCCCTGGAGATAGTTTTTGCTTTTTGAGGACTTCATTACGCCTTGAAAGACAAAGAAACTGCCGAAGGAAGTGTTTTGTGATTAGGAATTATTTATCTTTTAGTGATCATTATTCTCACTCTGGCTTTTAACTTCTTTTTATACTTAAAAGACTTATTATTTCAAAAACAGTTAGTTAAATAAGCCAAACAAGAAAATTTATTAATTAATCAGCGAGATTTGATTATCAAAAAAAATCTTGTTAATAACTACTCCGCTGAATACAAAGATATTTTAAATAAAACCAAATCACTAGCCGATAAAGAAGACTTTATGAACACGTTGGCTTTTGTGGTTCCTTCTTATTCTTTAATTAAATATTCTAGATTCTTTTTCTTTCCTTTTATTACTGATGAAAAAAGTTTTGTGGCTTTTAGTGTCCTGACCGAGTTATTTGACGCCTCGAAAAAAATGATTGAGAGGCTGCGTGGCTATCCTTATTATTTTTCTGCCAAAAAAAGACTGAATAATTTCTTGGCTTTGCCCGAAAGAGATGATATTCAAAAAAATGTTTTGATTTCAGAGCCAGTTGAAAGCATAACTTTAAAAAAAGTTTCTTTTGGTTATGAGGAAAAAAAACTGGTTTTGAAAAAATTAGATTGAGAATTCCGCAAAGGAAAAGTTAACCATTTAACCGGAGAAAACGGCTTTGGCAAAAGTACTATCATTAGTTTAATTATGGGCTTGTATCAACCACAAGAAGGAAAAATATTAATTAATCAAAAGTACAAAGTGAGTGAAATCAATTTAAATCAATGGCGGAAAAAGATTGCTTATGCTGAACACAATAATTTAGTTGAAAATGGTTTATCGACTGGGCAGAAACAATGGGCTGATTTAGACAAGCTTTTTGAAAACAGTGAAAAGAAAGAAGTATTTATTTTTGATGAAGCTGATAACGCCCTAGATGAAAATAAGAAAAAAGAGTTTCTCCAAAAAATAGAGAAAATTAGCAAAAATAAATTAGTTATACTAATCAGACATTAAAACGCAAAAAATTAATTTTTAGTAAAATATTATTAACATGGTAAGTTTAAGTAAAAAGAAAACTGTCAAGCCAGAAAAGATATTGGAGGAAATTGAAAAACACTTAAAAAATATTACTGAAAGAAAAAAAGAAATCGAAAAGAATTTCACCAGTAAGTTTAAGGAGTTAGAAAATCAAGCAAAGGAAAATGAAAAATGGTTTAAAAAAGAACGAGAAAAACTGGAAAAATTGGAAAATCAATTAATTCTATGATGAGACTTTTGGAAGAGAGAAGTAAAAATAAGTAGTTTGCGAGAAAAGACTGAGATTGGAACTCTCCCAAGCGAACGAGAAGCGATAATGGAAGAAATTCAAAATCTTAACACTTATAACAAAACGATTGAAAAAGGCTTCAAGGAAGGAAAAATTGACGTGGAAATAATGATAGAGTTACGAAAAGAGTTGGAAAAGTGAATGAAAGAAAAAAATAACCAGGAGGAAAAGTAAATGAGACAATATTTGGATTTACTTGAGTCTATATTAAAAAGTGGTGAAAAAAGGTCAGACCGCACCGGAGTTGGAACTAAGGGGCTATTTGGTTGTCAAATGAGGTTTAATCTTCAAGAGGGGTTTCCTTTGCTAACTACCAAAAAAGTAAATTTTAAAGCAATTGTTTATGAACTTTTATGATTTATTAAAGGTGGTACTAATATTAAATATCTAGTAGATAATGGTGTAAATATTTGAAACGAATGACCTTATAAAAAATATAGGTCTTCGCCGGATTACCAAGGGGAAAGTTTAGAAGAATTTGTAGAAAGAATTAAAACTAATAATGATTTTGCTGAAAAGCATGGTAATTTAGGGCCAGTTTATGGGAAGCAATGACGAAATTTTGGCGGGATAGATCAACTGAAAGAATTAGTAGAAAATTTAAAAAATAATCCCTTTTCTCGTCGTCATGTTTTGACTGCTTGGAACCCGCCCGAGAACAAAAAAATGCTCTTGCCACCTTGTCACTTACTTGCTCAGTTTTTTGTTTCTAATAATCAAGAATTATCCTGTTTGTTGTACCAAAGAAGTGGAGATATGTTTTTGTGAGTTCCTTTCAATATTACTAGTTATAGTCTACTAACCTCCATAATAGCTCAAGTCTGTGGCTACAAAGTAGGAAAGTTTATTCATGTAATTGGGGATGCTCATATTTATTTAAATCATTTAGAGCAAGTTAACTCTCAATTATCTCGGGAGCCTAAAAAGTTGCCAATTCTAAAACTTAATCCGAAAGTTAAATCAATTTTTGATTTTTGTTATGAGGATATTATTTTAGAAAATTATCAGCCTCATCCCTTTATTAAAGCGCCAGTGGCCGTATAACTTATGAAAAAAAGTCAACTTTTTCATTATTATCAACAAGAATTAAAACGCCAAAAAAACACCTTAAACTTAATTGCTAGTGAAAATTATCCTTCCCTGGAAGTTTTGTTTTATAGTGGTTCATTGTTAATGACTAAATATTCAGAAGGATATCCTAATAAGCGTTATTATCAAGGTTGTAAATATATTGATGAGATTGAGAAGTTGGCTGTTAAATTGGCCAAAAAGTTGTTCAAGGTCGATTATGCTAATGTACAGCCTCATTCTGGATCCCAGGCTAATCAAGTTGTTTACTTAGCCTTACTGAGACCGAATGACAAAATATTATCGCTTGATTTATTAGCTGGCGGACACTTAAGTCACGGGGCTAAGGTAAATTTTGGAGGAATTTTTTATTTGGTTTATTATTATAACTTAGATCCAATCACTCAGCAATTAGATTACGAAGAGATTAGAAAAAAGGCTCAAGAGGTAAAGCCAAAATTGATTATTGCCGGTTATAGTAGTTATAGTCTAAAAGTTAATTTTGGCAAATTTCGAGAAATAGCCAATGAAGTGGGTGCTTTTTTGTTAGTTGACATTGCTCATATAGCTGGTTTAATAGCAACCGAGTTGTTTCCTAACCCTTTTCCTCATGCTGATGTAGTTACTTTTACTACTCATAAGACTTTGCGTGGTCCGCGGGGCGGAGTAATTTTGGCTAAAAAAGAATTAGCAGAAAAAATAGATAGGGCGCTTTTTCCTGGTTTTCAGGGAGGAGCCAACCAGGCGATTATCGCTGCTAAGTCCCAGTGTTTTTATGAAGCTTCTCAGCCGGAATTTAAAGAATACCAAGAAAGAGTATTAGAAAATGCCAGAACTATGGCTAATTATTTTTTAGAAAAGGGGGTTAAGGTAATTAGTGGAGGCACAGAGACGCACCTGCTAGTTATTGACACTAAAAGTAGTTATGGTTTAAACGGAAAAAAGGCAGCGGAATTATTAGAAGAAGTAAATATAATTTGTAGTAAGCAAATGATACCGTATGATGAAGAAAAGCCCTGAATTGGCAGTGGAATTCGTCTAGGTTCACCAGCTTTAACCACCCGAGGATTAAAAAATAAAGATTTCGAAAGAATGGCGGAAATTATTCATAATGTTTTGCAAAATCCTCATGACAATAATTTGAAAAAGAAGATCAAAAGAAAAATTTCTTATCTAACAAAAAAAGCATGATAAACCTAATTTGGGCCATGGACAAAAAATATCTGATTGGCAAAGACAATAGTTTGCCTTGAAAAGTTCCTGCGGAAATGAAATACTTTTCACAAATAACTTCGGGAAATACAGTTTTGATGGGAGCCAAAACTTTTGAAAGCATTGGCAAACCACTAAAAAATCGGTTTAATATTGTTATCACTAGAAATAAGGAAAAATACCAAAATTGGCAAGAAAAAAACTTAATTTTTACTGATAAATTAGAAGAGAGTTTAAGACCCTATAAAGATAATCCTGACAAAAATATTTTCGTGATTGGCGGAAGAGAAATATACCTCCAAACTTATTTTTATGCTAATTTTTATTATGTTTCAGTTGTAAAAGGAGATTATGAAGGAGATGTTTTCTTTCCTTTTTCAAACTGAGAAAAAGGCAAATTAATTAAAAAAGAGGAGTTTCCTGATTTTACTGCTTACGTTTACAAAAATTTATGTCCAAAAGAAATAATTATTTAACTTGACCAGAATATTTTATTACTATTGCCCAAGTTTGTGCTTGGCGCAGCAAGGATCCTAATACCCAAGTTGGAGTAGTAATAGTTAATAATAATAAAGAAATAATTGCCACGGGTTATAATGGCTTGCCATGAGGTTGCAATGATGATAATTATCCCTGAGAAAATGATAAATCTAATTGGTTAGAAAATAAATATCCTTATGTGGTTCATGCGGAAGCCAACGCAATAATTCATGCTCGTCAAGATTGCCGTGGCTTTTCTCTTTATACTACTTTATTTCCCTGTTGTGAATGTGCTAAGTTAATTATTCAAGCGGGAATAAAACAAATCTTTTACTCTAATGACAAGCATGGTGAGGAAAAAGAAGTAATCGCGGCCAAGCGAATGCTCCAAGATGCCCGAGTGGAATTAAATTTAATCTCGGCACCAAAAATAATTATCGAAAAATAAACTACAAATACATATAAAATAATAAATATAAAAATTTATACTGATGAAAACAATTATTATAATAGGAAGTAAGGAGGCAGGAAAAACCACTCTTTTTCAGCAGTTAGTCAAACATTATTCTCCCGAGAAAAGAAAAGGAAATATTAAACCAAGTCCAGTAATTAATTACACTGAAAATTTAATTCAAATCCAGGATAAAACTTATAATTTAATTGATACTCCTGCCTTTATTCTTTCTCCCAAAACCGAAATAGAAAAGGGAATTAAAACCCAAACAGAAAATTTACTAAAAGTTAGCGATTTAATTTGTTGAGTAATTGACAAAATAAGCGAGGAAGAACTATTATTTAAAAGATACTTAAAAAAGTTTCAGGCTCCGCAGATTTTAATATTTAACAAGAAAGATTTAACGAATGAAAATGATTTTTATGATTATCAATCTCTTTGACCACAATATTTTTTAACTATTTCGGTTTTAAAGGGGAATAACCTTGCTGAATTGGGCCAACAGATAACTACTATTTTGCCTTACTCTTCTGGTGAAAATGCTGACCAAAAAGAAAAAGAATTAAAATTACTCATTTTTGGTCCACCTAATTCGGGAAAATCCACTCTTATGAACTATTTATTGCAGGAAAATCGTTCCCTGGCTACCCCCATTGCTGGCACTACTCAAGAACCAGTAATTAGCAATTGGAATTGAAAACAAAGTTTCGGCGAAGCAAAAAGAATTAATTTTGAATTGGTTGACACCGCCGGCATTACCAAAGAACAGAAATTAAAAGAAAGTGTATGAAGAAGTTGTGATTTAGCCTGAGCGGTAATTGACGCTACCCTGCCTTTAACCAAGCAACTTCTCCAAATAGTTAACTTAGGAGAAAAACATAATAAACCGCTAATTATAATTATTAACAAATATGATTTATTAGAAGAAAAGGAAGAGTTAAAAAAAGAATTAAAAAATCGGTTAAAATCATTAAGTTTTGCCCCAGTAATTTATATTTCGGCTTTAAAAGGGGTTGGAGTTAAATCATTGTTGAAGGTCTTAGAAAAGATGTTGGAACAAGCCCAAAAAAAACTTTCCAAAAAAGAATTAGCAGAAGTAGTAGAAAAAATGTTAATTAATAATCCGCCCAAATATTTTAAGGGGAATAAATTAAAAATCTATTTTGCTAAGCAGGAACCTGGTCTAACTCAAACTTTCATTTTTTTTGTTAATAATCCTCAATGAGCCCATTTTTCTTATCAACGCTACATGACTAACTATTTACGGAAAGATCTTGGTTTAGAATATTTGCCTATCAAAATAGTATTAAAAAAGAGCGAGTAAAGTTTATTAATTTCAGAAGAATTAAAGTTATGAGTATAAGAAAGTAAGTGGTGAGAGTGGGTTGTGTGGCAAAGGACAGAAAGAATAAGTTAGTTTAATTTTCTTTTTCCTTAAACTTTTTGGTCTTTTTTTTAAGAAAATTAAACTAACCCAGCCGCAAAAGGAGGTTTTTTGCGGCTGGAAGTAGATTCATTTTTTAATTCAAGATAGCTTACTTGCCAGGAGGGCGCAATAAACTCGTTCGCCCTCCCGTTTTAACTCCTGCTGCCCGACAAAAAGCATAAATCAAACAAAAGAGCAAACAAAGTAATCACGAGAATATTGAATAATCTCAAAAAAGAAAATATTTCTTTCATTCCTCCACAAAAATAATTAGAAGCACATTAATAGACATGATTATTAAAAAAGAAACTAGAAAGTGAAATTTAAAAATTTCCCCGCGCTTTTTCTTTGGCAAATTAATCTTTATTCTTTTAGTGAAATTGATATGTTTAGTTGTCATGGCTTTTTTATTTTATAAAGGTTTTTAATTTATTAATCACTATATAATTTTTTATAAAAATTTTCAGTAAAAAAATCTATATGTGCTAACCCCAAAAATAAATCATTAGTTATGAAATGTAATTACTGCCAAAAGGATATAGAAAAGGGCAAAGAAGTGAAAGTTAACCGTGGTTTGCTTACTACTAATCGAATCAGAGGAAAGAAGTTTTTTTCTCCGCTTTTATATCACCAAGAATGTTGACAAGTTATTTGCCAAAAAAGAAAACAAGAAAGAAAGTATTTTTGAATCTTAATGATTATTTTTTTTCCTTTTTACTTTCACTTTTAGCATTGATGCTTTTCGTTCGTCCTTTTATTGAATTCTTTTTCTAAGCAAATTAGAAATAATTTAATGTCAGTGAGGGCAATTTTTGAGTTCTTAACACCGAGAAGAAAAAAGATAATTTAAAAAAATAAATAATATGTCGGCTAGTCTCAAAACTTTTTTTCAAGATTTACAACAAAGAGGAATAATTGCTAATTACGCTAATTTAGATAATTTTTACCTACTAAGACCAGAAGAGAAAGTAATTTATTTAGGAATAGATTGTACCGGTGAAAGATTACATATCGGACATTTATTTTTATATTTTCAAACCGTTCGTTTTGCTGAGAAGGGATTTAAAATATTGCTGGTTTTGGGCGGAGCCACCAGTAAAATTGGAGATCCAAGTGACAAAGATAAAGAGCGTCCTTTACTAGAAGAAGGACAAATTGAGGGCTATCTAGAAAAAATAAAATCTCAGTTGGAAAGAATATTAATTAAACCCAAAAAAATAGAGAAAGTGGATTTCTCTCCCTTAGAACAATTTTATCAAGATAATCCTGAGTTATTAAACAATATTTATCGAGTATTAAAAATAGACAGCGAGGATAAAAAAGAAAAACAATGGGAAGACTACTTGAAATATATTTGGCCCTTAAAAGAAAACACCAACTTTCTAATTTTAAATAATAAGGACTGATTAGAAAAAATAAATTTTATTGATTTTTTACGTCAAACTGGAAAGTATTTAACCGTTGCTTACTTGTCAAGCAAAGAAACCATTAAAAAAAGAATTGAAAGTGGGATTTCTTTTTTAGAGTTTAGTTATCCGCTTATTCAGGCTTATGACTTTTATTATTTATATGAAAATTACCGTTGCCACGGACAATTGGGCGGTAGTGACCAGTGGGGAAATCTGACTACTGGCTTAAAATTAATCCGCAACTTTTATCCTGAGAATAAAACTTTTGCTTTTAATTTTCCCTTGCTGACTGATAATGAGGGCAAAAAGTTTTCCAAAAGTGAAAGTGGCAAAAAGATTTTATGGCTCAACAGTGAAAAAAAAGATTTTTACGATTTTTGGCGCAATATGTCCGACGAGCAAGCGAAAATTTACATCAAACAGTTTACTTTTTTAGAAGAAGAGCAAATTAAAGAATTGATAAAGTTAAACAACCCTCCTAAATTAAGGATATTACAAAGGATTTTGTATGAATTAGTTCATTGACTTAACTACAGCGAAATGCCAAAAAACTCTTCTTTCTAACCATCATAAAACTTTAATAAACATAACAAGAATTGTTCACCATGGCATGTCTAAAATGGCAAAAAATTAAAAACATTTAAATATGGACTGAAAAAACTTTTTTCGGGAAAACTGAGGAATGATTATTGGAATAATGTTATTACTATTCTTTTTAGTCTTTATTATTTTTATAATTTGGGAGAAAGAAGCAGTTGAAGAGAGGAGGGGCGATAAAGGTTTTTTAATTTGTCCTATTCGTGGTATTTTACGAGCCAGAAAATATGATACTAAGGGTAATTATACTGAAGAATACCAAAGAATTAGATTGATTAAATATCTTTTACAAAAAGGTTATCCAAAAAGTCAGTTTATTATTGAATACGCCATACCAATCGGGCATAAAGGACATAACATTCTCCGAGTTGACTTGGTAATCAAAGGTCAAAACAACTTTATCTGCGTAGCAGAGGTGAAAAAAGGTTATACTGAAGAAAATATGAGGTCAGCTATTAAACACCAATTAATACCGGCTATGCGAATAGTTAATGCTAAGTATGGTGTTTATTTTGACGGAACTAGAAAGAGCCGTTTATTAACAAAGAATGACGATGGAACCCTTTCGATACGGGAATTTCCTTAATTTATTTTCTTATTAGTTATTTGTGATTCTTTTTTTCTATCCTGTATGTAATATTATTTTTATTTTGTTGTGTCAGAGTTTAACCTTAAATACAAATTATTAATAAAAATAAATTGTCATGCCAGCACCAAATAAACTAAAGTGTAAATTTTGCCCTCCTCGAAAAGAATTTGCCATCGTTGCCGAAAACAATCACGCTGTTGCTATTATTTGTGATACTGCTAAAAGTTGGGGGCATTCTTTAATTATTCCTAAAGACCATAGTTCTAACCTTGCCTCCGCAGGTATGAATGAAACCACTTGAAAGGAAGGAATAGTCCCACTACTGCGGGAAACTGTTGGACAATTCAAAAAAAATCCACAAGTGATAGGATTTCACATTAATTCTAACGCCGGGAAGGCAGCCGATCAAAGTGTTTTTCATACTCATATTCACGTTGTTCCCAAATACAAAAAAGCTGTTAGTGGTTATGGAGATGGTTTTGCTTGTAATATTCATGGAAGCGACTGGGACAAAAACGATGGTCATGCCTATTTTCCACGTAAGTGGGAAGACTGTTATAAGCCTATGGCAGAACATATTGACAAATTAATTAAGGAAAAAAAATTGATAAAGAAAATAGAAGAAGGGTACGAATCAATTGTAAGTTTTAATCTTTTTGCTCGGGTCGGACAAGTAGACGGAGGAAATTATACTAACGAACATTTTCGTATTATCCCTAAGCCCAGCAATTATGAGTGAATGAAGGGTGGAGGGACTACTCCTGTTGATTGGTCAAAAAGGCAAAAAATCGCAGAAAGAATAAAAAACGAGCAATGAGAAGAAGAAAGCACAGAAAAACCAAGTACTCCAAAAAAAGATAATCCAGCCGAGAAACCAACCAACAATGACAATCGACGGCCAAATCAAAATGGCACTAACCATGACCAAGAATTCAACCATGACCAAAACGCGCCTCCTCCTGGTAGCGAAAATGAAAAAGGCCAAAATGAAGAAAGTAAGGAACCAAGTAATAAAAACCACGAAAACGGTAAAAGAAACGAAAAAAATAGTGAGTGAAAAGAAAATTTGAAAGAGATAGACGCTTCTTTTGTAGAATCCTTTACCGACGAAAAAATAACTGAATGACAACAAGAAAAAGGAGATTTTAATACCAGCGAGGGAGTAAAAAAATTGTTGGCAAGTGTCAAAGATAATCCAGCTTTTTTAGCCGAAATTGAGGCTAATCATTCCACTAATAGCCTTCAAGCCCTAATTACTAATAAAACTCCCCGCGAAGTAATTATAATTGTTAAACGTTTTGAGTATGAAAATTTAAGCCCCCATGATAAGGAAATTAAAAACAAGAAGATGAAAAAGTATTATAATTTAAAAGAAACCAATCCTTTGACTGATAAGCAAATAAATGAGTTTTGTTATGGAGTAGCGATTGGCGAAATAAACGAAGGTTCAATTAAATTAGACGAAAATCAGCAAAAAACAATTAAACCTCAAAAAAATAATCCAACAAAAGTAGTTGTAATTAGTGCCCTTGTTTTAGTGTTATTTGGTTTATTGCTTGCTCTCTTCCTTAAAAAGAGAAAGAAAAGTTAAACAGACAGTTTTTCTCATAATTGCCAAAAAAATTATCATATGATTATTAAAAAAGAGAAAATTCGTAATTTCTCAATTATTGCCCACATTGACCATGGCAAATCTACTCTCGCAGATCGTTTATTAGAAAAAACTAACTTAAAAGGCAGTAATAAGTCAATAGAAAGAGTACTCGATAGCCTTTCCCTCGAACAAGAAAAAGGAATTACTATTAAACTAAATGCCGTACAATTATACTATCCACTAGAAAGCCCCGAGCCTTATATTTTTAATCTGATTGACACTCCTGGTCACGTTGATTTTATGTATGAAGTTTCTCGCTCTCTGGCGGCTTGTGAAGGAGTAATCCTTTTAGTTGACGCTACCAAAGGGATTCAAGCCCAAACTCTTGCTTATTACGAAATCGCCAAAAGTCTTAATTTAAAAGTTCTGCCCGTCATTAATAAAATTGACTTACCTCACGCCCAATTAGATACTACTAAAAACCAACTCACCGAACTCCTTGACTGTCAAGAAAATGATATTTGCTTAATTTCAGCCAAAACTGGGTTAAATGTTGACTTACTTTTGGAAAAAATTATTAGTGATATTCCGCCCCCATTAGAAAGTTAAACTAAAGTTAATAAATATTAAGAGTTGAAATGGAAAATGAAAAAAGTGTTAAGGATTAAATCAGATAAATGTAGAAAAATAGATTTATTATGATACCATTAATTATACAAGAATATTTGGTCAATAAACGTCGAGAATTTTTAATGTTATGTTCTAATTACAGGTATTACCTGCAGACTAGACGACAGATAATGCAAGAGATAAGTAGCGTACCACTAATTTCCTTAAAAACTTACATAAAGCATATGGCAATAGGTAGTTTGATAAGTAGTTTAATTACTCTGGGAAGCGTAGAAACTTATCATTTATATTACGGGAAAAGCAATTTAACCCTTTGTAATTATAATAATCACACCTGATTAGATAATGTTTATGCTAATATTCCCTTCAATGAACTTGAGTATAACAACTTAACTAACTTACTAAGTTTACCTCAATCATACCAAGCCCAAAAAGTTAATGACATACTATTTTCTGGTCTGAAAGATAATTATTTTGACTGAGAAAGCGAACTTACTCGCTTAAAAATTAATGATCTCACTGCCCAAATTCACCTTAAAAGAAGAGAGTTAGGAAAGTTAATCGCCGAAACTAAAAACAAGTTTAGCAAAGCCGAGAGTTACTTGCTGGAACGACTTCTTGACGAGAAGCCTAATTCTGAGAAATTAAACGAACTACAAGTTGCCTTATCAGACCGCAAGGCAGAAACAGAAATTATTTTAAACAAAAAGCGAGAGTTAAGAGATTTAGAAAAGCACTTAGAGCAATTACAAGCAATTCAATTAGAAGCGAAAGTAGAAGTTAACTAAGAAGTAAAAATATGGTAGAGACAAAATACAGAAGGACCAAGCAGTTTTGAATCAACACAATAAAGAGCAGACCACTACACTATAAATTTGATGATAGTGATTTCAAAGATCCTAATTGAGAGCAAGAAATTAAAAATGCTACCTCTTTTAAGAAATTGAACGAACTAGGTCGAAACTTGAGGAAAGAAATAGCTAGCAAATGATTTACGGGGCTTAAACCTAAATTTCAGTATTTAATTTCAACAGAAGAAGAAGATTTGGCAAAGTGTATCGCGGAAGATTTAATTGATCAAGAAAATGAATTAACTACCATCGAGACTTTCAAGAATTTGGCCAAAAACTATGAGTTGGGTCTAAAAGGAATAATTGGCGATGACCTAACTAACTGAGAAAGCAAAATAGTCAAAGCGGGCAGTAGTGATAAAGATATAACTGACTTACAAAAGAAAATCAGTGATTTAACTACGGCCAAAGACAATTTAGACCAACAATTAAAAGATAAACAACAACAAATTCTTGACCATCGTTGTGATACTCCGAATAATGCGGAACTAAATCAAACTAAGCAAGAATTAGATAAAGCCAATAAGGAAATCACCGCTTTAAAGAAACAATTAGGTCAAAAACTAAATTTGCCCAATGATAAAGAGGAAGATAAAAAAGAAGAACAAGAGAACAATAATCTAACTTTGGAGCAATTAAAGGAAAAGTTAAAAATCACCCAAGCAAAAGTTAAAAGTCTGCGTATCCAGTTAGATCGGCAAAATAGCCGAATTAACCACAGTGGCAGTTATAGTTTTGGCGCCCTTTTTACAGTTGGTATAGCTTCTTTATTATTTGGTAGTCTAATTATGTTTATTATCAAAAAAAAAAAAAAACAGTTATTAAATAAAACACCGAATTTCTATCTGTCCCTACATAAAATTATAATATTATGGTAGGTCGTAATATGAATGTTTACTTTCGAGAAGAAACATATAGCAAAATAAAAAACTTGGTTTCAAAAAGGGAAGTTAGTCGTTTTATTAATGAAGCAGTGGAAGAGAAATTACAAAAACGACAGGAGCAACAGAAGGAAGAACTGCGGCAAAAATTAATTGCTGGTTATCAACATAGGGCTAAAAACAAAAACTTAAAAAA